AAAGGTTTTCCATTTTCTTGCTTTGACGACTTTTCTTCAGCAGAGAGTTGTAGAAATCAAAAAAGGAATTTTTTCCCAAGAATGAGCATCTTATGTTTGGGCTAGAAAAGAAGAGAAAGAATTGAAGTGAGAGTAATACTTTGCAACGTTTCCAGGTCGTGCTGGTAGAACCGGTCCAGGTATATGCTACAGGCTTTATTCCCAGCAACATTTTGATAAAATGGATCCATTTACAATTTCCGAAATTAACAGAGTCTCATTAGAATCACTTGCCATGCAAATCGTCAGTATGAACCTCGGAAGTGAGTACTTTTATGTTAATTACGGTAATATCAAATAATTGTTTAACTGTTTCGTAAGCTTACTTATTTTACTGCTTAGATGTAATTACTTGATGGCCAAAGTTTCAGGACAAACTTAGTTGCTTTCGAACTATTCTACAAACATCTTACCTTTCTTAAATTCATTTTTTTTCATCCTATTTTCAGTTTCACCGCTTGAATTTCCATTTATTGAAAAGCCAAATATGGGTGAATTAGAAGAAGCAATAGAAAGCTTGTGGAGGCAGGGAATATTGGAAGTTGGTAATATGAAGACCTTGACATCTTTGGGCAAGATAATAGCGAGCATTCCAGTGGAAATTCCAATTGCAAAAGTTCGTTTTAAATGTGTATATATTTCTAGAGAAAAAATAGAGAATTGGGATATGGAATGAGCAGTTTGTAAGCGTAATCTGAAAGACGAAAACTTTTTCTTTTCTATTTTTTGTAATAAATTATTATCTGAGGCTCTTTTCTTATTTATCATCTGTTTGAGGTTCTAATATATGGTTGTATTTTTGAACAAGTCGAACCGTCGTTAACAATTGCTGCAAGTTTAGCAACTAGTTCACCTTTCACCAATCGATCGTTTCGGGAACCGGATATACTGGACCGAAGAAAAAATATTATGTCTGATAGCGGTGATCCATTTGCACTGATTAATGCATATCGGTGAATTTCAAATTAATCGACCTTAATATATATTTATATAAGTCGAAGACATTCTTCAGTCCCAACTCCATGAATCCTTTGTGGACGCTAATAATTGTGGAAACCAAGTAGTTTCTTTGCTTATATCTTATTTTACATATATACTTCTTCTATGATCGCGATATTTTTGGGATACGGAGCGGTTATGGATAGTTTCTCGAAGATTCACTGCTATAGTAAACACGATATTTTGTGCTATGGATTAATATAGATATGTTTCAAACATTTTGATAAGATTTGAAGGAAATTTTTTTGAATTCCTATTTAACTTTTTAGAGAATTTGTGGAAATGCAAGCTGAACGTGATGATATACGTCGATGGGGTAGGGAGAAGGGAATCGATATTCAACGCATGTATGAAATTAGGCAAGTAGTTTAAAAAATAATTTTTATTAATAAACATCCTCCTTTAGCTATTTGCCAATAGTAACGAGTTATTTTCATTCATTTTTTCCTTATTTTCAAAAAACACATCCTAATTTTCACGGGAAATGATGACTTGCATGATTTAACTCCTCTTAATCGTTTTGCTACATTTGAGATGTTTACATTCTGAGAGTAAATTTTTTACAATTTTAGGCAGTTACGACGTCAATTCAAAGAATTATTGGAACATAGTGGTATCTTGGAAACACAAAGTGACATGGACAGTCGTGAGCGTCGTATTAACGCTGGTGATAGAAAGCGTCTCAATGAACTGAAGAAAGATGCTCGGTCCGTTTATCAGAAATGAAAATAAGAAAGGCATTGAATTATAATTCAATGTTTTTTACTTTATTTATAATTAACTGTGATCCTCTCTTATGTTTCCAAAAATTCCAAAGTTCTTTCATAAGCTATAATTTTCAGTTACGAAGTGAAGAAACGGAAAGTATTGAAACCGGAAGCTCATTTCGATACAATAATGGATTCTGAAGGTTAGAAAAAATTTTCTTTTTTTAGTGAATTATAATTATAAGATCATTTAGTTTTTTCATGGCGAGGCTGGCTCGCTTCTGCATCGAAAGGGCTTAAAAAATAAGATAAACAATTTTAATTATCAAGCTCCCGCAGCCAATTTGTTTCTTCAGATGACTGTGGTTGCAAGTTTTTAAGCTAAATATAATTCAGCTATTTTTTTTTTCGGTAATCTTTCACTTATGGATAATGTCCAAGCTATTGAATTTTACATGGAAAATCGTGAAAGTGGTATTCGGAATATTTTAAAGTCTCATCGGTTGAATGATGCCACATTTTCGATCCTGAAATTCATTGTCACGGCTGGTGTCCATCCACAGTATGCCATACTGGACCAGTATAATTCGTATAAAGTACGATGCTTTTGTCTTAAATTTAAAATGGACGAGAACTAAAGTTTTGTTTTTATTGAAAAATTTTAACTTCAAATGGTCAAATTTGGGACCGTTGGATGTTTCCATTTTGCTACATCTGACTGTCGCGGCCTTTATCCTTTTCCATTTTTTCTCTTATAAGTTTCCAGATAACTCAATCTCACTTTAAATTTCTTTTCAGATCGGAAATGAACTTTTTGCTCATACGCGAAGAAAGCCATTTGCTGCCTTACATCCAAATAGTTGTCTATCACTTTCGCCAGAAGCTTTGGATTATGATCGTAGTGACAAGGTTTTAATTTTGTACTTTTTTCTTAGAAATAAAATAATTTTTTATAGAATGAATTCTATGAAGTGACTAGCATGCTAGTTTTGCTCTATTCTCTTTATTTTATTTGCGCTACTCCATGAATATTGTTCTCTCTGAGACTTCTTTTTGACTTAAATTACTCGTAATATGGAATGACAGCGCTTGACTTCCAGTATTGTTTTAATTACAGGGTTTATCGAATTATCACCAGCTAATTTCGTTTGCGTCATTTATAGAAACTACAAAGCCATATATTTGCAACAGTTTACGTGTACCAGCGCTAGCTTTATTGTTGCTGTCGAAATCGGTTTGTTTATTGGGAGAATGCATGTAAATTTTATTAGCTAAATTCAAAAAATTTCGTGATTTTTTCAGGTAATATGTTCGGAAAATGATTGTTCAATTATTTGTGACGATTTTATCAGCTATAAATTCCCACGAATCATGGAATTTTTCACTGTCGTGGAGCAGGCATGTGCGACTCGCCGACAACTTGCCAGAGCTCTTAGAAGAGGTCTTGAAGGGGATCTTTCCGATAGTCATGCACTTGCTAAAAGTGTGGTGTCATTTTTGAGATCAAACGTTGAATATATGTAAGTTGATGCGAAAGATTTAGATCCTGAATATATGAAATATATAAGAGAAATTAAAAGTATATGAAAGTTAAGTTTACTTTACTAAAAAGAAGGCTCAACATTTTTTTACAAATTGATCTTTCACAAAGTTTAGTATGACTCGTCGTGCTTGTCCGGAGGATAATAGAGAGCTCGGTTTCATACTTCCATCGGGCGAGAAGCTGGACGAAAACGATGATCAAGAAATACTAACATCGATGCGACTTTATGAAGCCCAAAATGATTCAAAGGTTATTTTTGCCATTTTTAAGGCAGTAGCATTTTTCATCACTTTTGGAATATGTAATTCGTGTCATAAACTTTGCTTATTTTTTGATTATTCTTAGTTTTATTTTTTTTAGTTTATTATATATATCGGATATAACTAATAAAACCGCTAAACTACTTAATTTGATTTCTATTTCGGGTGCGATTTCGGTGACTCAGATAGCTTTTCAAAGAAAATGTTTTTAATTTCTGAAGTTCCATCTGTTCAGTTGTAATTCTAGATATTTTTCAGCTAGATGATGAGCTTGCAATTAATAAAACTGCCGAAAAGAAACCAAGCATTGAGTATTTTTGTGATGTCTGTCAAAAGATTCTTTTTTTTGGTACAACTTTCGATGTTTTGAGGCATAAGAAATCTCATTAATTTTATTATCTTCTTTAAAAATAAAGAGAGGTACCATTCTTCATCGTATTGCAAAATAAATTTTGAATTTTCAGATAAAGTTTGTTGATTTAGCTTAAACGGCTTTTAATCTAAGTTTCCAAAAGTATTTTATTTTTCTAAATAAACGACATATTTGAATTGACCACTTAAGATTAAATAAGCTAAGATTACTGAAGAAAAGAGGTATTCCGATATGTTCAAAAGGTGTTAGTCTAAATATTTACATTTTAAAGCTGTTTTTTCGGCGAGAGCGGAATGATTAAGTGCAAAGAGAGCTGTTAGAGATCAATAAGCGGAACGGACAACAATAATTGTGACAAGGGAGGATCAAATAGAGGAATAGGGATAGAGGTTGTAATTCGATGGCAATCTATCATTAATGTCGACAACAATCGGTTCAAGCAAGATCAATCATCGATGACAATGTTAGCATCAGAAGAGTTCAGTTTTTACTCGATTTCGAAGATGTTTGATTTGAAGACGTCAAGAGCGATAATTCGACGGTCCAACAGGACGAGTGGAAGTCACAAAAAAAGAAATATTAACAATGCAACGAGAGTGCATACAATTGTTATCGCCGACGTAACGAAATCACAGAATTGAAGATCCGATCCATAATCACGCCATGGATTAATGTTATAAAAATTTTCTCTGACAGCTGTCGAGTTTTCTTTTTTCTTACTTTCCGAACATAAAAAGTTCAGTGAAGAAGCGCTATTATTATGAGACGTGAATCCCATTTCTGCATTACGTAATAGGCTTTAACAGCGCATCGAAAAAAAACTTCCGAATATTCTCCAATTTCAAGAACTGATCATGGATGTTCTAACTCTTCATTTCTCCTTGATACTATTGCATTTTAATTCTCATCATTGAAAATTTTCTCGTCATCGTTGGATACATTTTAAATTTTCATTCCATACTATTATTTTGTTTTTGAAAAAGCTATAAAATTCGTTTGATGATGTAGTCAATGAGATAATTGTAGCAAAATGGTAATTTTAATCCGAAGCAAAATAATTCATTATAAAAGATAAGGAAAAAATAATGATGCATGTGTTGAGCAACAAGCATGTTAATAACAATCACTGAATTAGCATTTTGCGTGTTCGTCTTACAGATGGTAAAAATAAACACATAAATTATATTTGGCGCGAAAAATGGAAAATTAGGCAAAATATATTAAATTGGCGAAGGTATTTTTATTTTTACAAATTTGTTACAGTTATTTGATTTTAGTTCGACCCATACCTTTCAATTTCTTTTTAATTTCCAGGAACAGAAAACAAATACAATCAACAATTATAAGCAATTATTATATTTCAATATCGATTTACCATATATATATATACAAAATATATAACAATTTTTGATGGGTCGAACCTTTCAACAAGTATATACCTATAGAAAGCCCATAAATTGCTCAAAACTTTAAATACTGGAATGATGAATTTAAAATACATCCTGTTTGGCTTTCAAAAATAAGGAAGAAAAAAATATATAGGAAAAGCCAAAAATAGGAATACTTTTTATAATTACAGCCAAATTGTGGCTAATGATTTTTTTTAAGAAATCAATTTTTAGTTCTTCAGCTTTTATGAGCTTATAATTTGACGACAAAAAAAATTGATGAAAAAAGTTGGCAGTGAATTTGATTACATTTGTCATGTGAATTGTTTTAAACACATAATATTAATATGCGCAGTAAGCATCAATTTATATAAATGAATTTTTTGCTAAAGCTGAAATCGAAAAAAATCTGAATCAAAAATAAAACATTTACTAAAATTGAAAATTTCTCATATTTTTCAAATTATTTGTCAATAGAAGTAAGCAAGGTAGAATAATTAAAATTTTATTTGACTTAGGCTTGTATTTGTTGGAATATAAATGCCTTAGACCATCTATCAAGAGCAATTAATCACGTAATGTATCAAAGGAACATCACTTTTCATAATATTTGCTAATATCACAATTCAAACAAGTATTCACGTAGGAGGACATAAAGATTGAATAGTGCAGGAATGGATTAAATGATAGCCAAAAATTAATCGTAAATGACAACGATTTGTAAATCGGCAATTAATAGATGGTGTTTGAGTAGTCAAATGGTAAATTAGCCAAACTAGCAATTGTTAAGCTGGAAATAGTCAAACGAATGGTAGCCAAAACAAAAAATTTTTCACAATTTAATCAACAATCGTATTGTGTGAAAAATTCGTTTATAGGAAGCAAGAAAAAAAGAAATGTCATCAAACTAGACAACAGCCCATTTTGGTTCATCGTTATCAGAATCGCTGAGTGGCATATTACCTGGCTGAGCTCGTATCACTCTTATCATTGGCCGTAGTCGATTACCAGCATAGATCATCGTTGGTGCACTGTTACCACTACCACTTTGTACTCGATTGTATGGTGTGATATTATTACCGTGGTAGCCAATAGTAACAAATGGTGTCCTCCAACTGTTATAACCAATAGGTAATCGTGATCCAAGGTTATCACCTGTAAGAGTAAAATGAGCATTTTATTGATTGATTTAAAAAAAATTTTCCTCTAATCTTATTTATATTTGTTAGTATGTAGAACTAATTGTTAAATTCATTATTTCTGATGGAAATATAGCATATGGTATGAAATAAATAAGCAAGTAATTATTTAGTTTAATGAAATGAAAGAAAGAAAGAAGGAAATGAAATGAAAGAAGAAAATTTACAAAGAAATTCCAAAAATGTTAAATACAAATATTAAATTTCAAACGTTAGATGCGAAAATTTCTTTATTCTGAAAATTTATTAGCTCTAAGAGCTTTAGAATTTGTGAACAAAATAAAAAAAAAAATGGAAAAATACCTTGGCCATAAATGGGGAAATTGTGTGCAGGACTGGGAGATGCTGATGGTATATCATCGGTTGACGTATAGTAAACGGTACGCCCACTTACGCCAAGATCACTTCGTGTCGTATGATATGGATTTGTGTAGTGATCGGGTGAACGTAATGAGGTTGGTGAAGGTAATGTACCAATTAATGGAAGTCTTCGTTGACGTACAGCGCTTAGCATTGATTCATCATCATCCGTAAGCATTTGTGATGATGGCGTATCTAGAAAAAAAAAAACTGAGATCACAAATATTACATGATATCATTATCACTAACAAAGCTTCAATGATAATTGTCATAATTGATTCTGCAAACAATCATCGAATTGATAATTTAAAGAAGAATTTTTATTTTGTTAAAGAAGATGATTGCTAATCAAATTTACCTGAATAAATTCGCTTATTCATATGGGTTGCACGTGTCGGTGATAACCGTCGTAATCGATTCGGCAAATAACCATCAACCAATGATAAGCTTCCATTATCATTATTATCATTATCATTATATGCTGGTCGATGCGGTGGTACTCGCGGACGTGAATATCTCTCTTCTCGTGACTTCGTCAAATTGCTAAAAATACTTTCAGATAATTTTAGAATTCATCAGTAAAAAAAAAATTGTTTAAAGAACGAAACAAGAAATAGAGTACAAAAAAAATATATGTGAAAATAGGTCATTAAAAATATAATTGAATTGAAGGACAAAAAAAGAAACATAAAAGATTTTTGACCTTAAATGCGTTGGCGAATTACATTCTCGTGACGTTTGTCGTATATAATTTGAACGTGACGGTGAACTTCCTGGAGAATGTGAATGTCCTCGTCCTATACAGTTTTCAAATTGCACACAATCATTGGAATAGTGAAAAAAATAAAATGAAAAAAATGTCAAAAAAAAAGTCATTTGTGTTGTTTCATTTATGTGAAATTGTAAATCAAAATAATTTGTGAAAAATGTAAATTTGTCAAAAAACAGAAAGAATTTTATAAAAATTTTATAAGGTAATATGTTAAAATAATCAAAGGTTTTATAATTGCAAAAATATGTGCTGTAAAAACATTTTTGTTTGTAATATTCGCTTTCTTTATTTTACCTTTGCTTGTTTGATTAGTTTTTCTCAACTTTTGCATTTTAAACGAATTGTTGGTTTCATTTTTATCAAATGATAAGATATTATTTGTGTATTTAGCTTTCTTTTTATCTTCATATAATTTTTACATTTCAAAGCATTTGTATGATGTCGGCTTCATTATCAACAAGTCATGAAATAATTCTTCATTTACATTGGCTTTCTTTGCTTGTTTAGTTCTGCTTGACCTCTGACTTTAAAAAGATTATAAATGTAGCATTCATGAAGCGCTAGAAGTTATATATGATCAATAAACGTTATATATTATCTATAGTAATCGATACTTTCAGAAGTATTATTAATCACATTCAACTTATTTTTTTCTTACTTTAATCATGATACTTTCTAATTACTGCCAAAAAAGAACAAATCTCTTTATCGATTAGCAAAATTTTCATCACAAATATTCGATTATACCAAAATCTTATAATGTAAACTTTCAGAACAAAACTATCCCAATAATTACTTTTACCACCGCTTGTTATTAATTTCATAATTCGTTTGTAAATAATGTTTGAAAGAAAAAATTCGAAAATCAAAAATTTCGTCCACGATTTTTTTCCTGTTGTTTTATTATTTTCAAAACTCACGGTAATAGTGATCATCTCGTGAATTCATAGCAGTACTACGAATATTACGTGAATAATTCGGTGAATTTTTTTGTGATGGTTCCGATGGTAACAATTGTTGCACCTGAAATCTTTTATCACTATTATTATTAGCAAATAAAATTAATGCTAAAATGTTGTACTTTACTGTTCAGATGAATGAGCGGAAATGTCGCAAATCATCAAGTCATTTTGTTATTAAATTCGCAATTATTGGTATTATATCGTATACGTGGACCGTTTCAAAAAAAAGAGATCCATGGAGAAAGAGGATGAGAAGACAGGGAAGGGAAAAATAAGGTTATCATGCAGCACTAAAAGTCTAAAATCTAAAAGCAACACATCCAAAGCATTTCAAAACTTTAATTATGCAAAATTAAATAAATTTTCTAAACAAATTTGCAAATTGCAACAAAAATTGATTTATGAAAACAGACATTAAATGCAAATATTTTGTTTTAATTCATTTAACAAAAGGCAAAAAAAAACAACAAAAGAATTTCCCGTCCTTTCAGAGGTACACGTTATATGTAATCTGAAAAAAATCAAAATATAATTAACGAATTTAAACTCAAATATTTCACCATGATCGTAAGAATCGGATAATATTACTGCAAAAATTGAAAGATATTTTTAAAGCTTTAAACAAAATATAAATGTGCCATATGCTTGTGGATGAAATTATCAACAACGTGATTTTTGTATAATCAAAAAATTTTGCTCATATTTGGATCAAATAACGTAAAATATTTTGACGATTAAGATTTTAAACCAAAAATGATCATTTCACGCATATAATTATCATTCGTAATTATCCAAAAAAAAATACTAATATATTAATTGCTGATTGTTGACCAAAATTTCTTTTTTAAAAGATTACTATTTTCAAACAATTAGCTTAATTATTCAAAAGTTTGCCGCATCCATTTTTAACTTGTTGATACAATAAATCGAAATCAGATATAGCTCTAGACAATAAGTATCGCTGGAGGTAATCCTCTGACACGTATATTATCACATCATATTATCCAAATTTTTAGTAAGATTTTAAAGCAATTTTTTTGAAATAATTTTAAGAAATTTCCAACTATAATATGGCAAAGAGTGATTTAAAATAATTGTGAGTATTAACGTGCTGAATAAATTTAAAAACATCAAAATGAATATAAATTTCGGAATTAAATTAAAATTCGTTCATAAATAATATAAAACGAAAAAAAGTGAAATGAAGGAAGCAACATAAAAGCTTCTATTATATAATACGAAATTTAATTACGCAGGCGTAAACTAATCAAGCAATGCTCGATAAAAAATTTTAAAACAAAACAAAAAAAAAACAATATTTTGAGTAAAACATATATTTCACATCAAGACATTTACCTCATCATAAGTAGCATTGTTATTATCATATGCACTCAAGAATATTCCTCCATTTGAGTAACGCTACAATTTGACATTCTTTTTTTTTTAAATTCCCTTTCATATGAATTTGATTAATTTTCCCAAATAGATAAGAATGGTGGATATCGAATAATGATCAATGGTAAAGCTTAATTAATCAAAATTATTTGGTTTACTTTGAGTAATTGTAATGTTCGGAATATATTCTTATAATTAATTATTTATTTCATGTGATGTATCATATTGAAATGATCAAATATTAATTGACATGATGAAACAGTGCTGTGTATTGTAACAGCTACCATCCAATTTCTTTCATAAGTTTGCAGTGATGTTAACTTTATCTTTACTTTTTACTGACTAATAGCTGATAAAGCGAAAGAAATTATGGAAATAAATTTTTTTAATCCTAAAATTCCAGAAATGGATAAAGATTGAAATTCGAAATTAAAATTTTTTTATCAATAATTTAGAATTACAATTTACCTGTCGTAATGATTCATTGTTGTTTATGCTACCCTCTCGACTTCGTATTCTTGAGATAATTCCTGAAAGACGGCGACCAACAGTCGATTTATCACTGAAACATTTAGCAAATATTTCAATCAATTTTGTCAATTACAAATAATATATAATAGAACAATTAATATTTATACAATGAATTTTGCGCTATTATCACTATCATATTTTTATCAACGTTATATTAATATGATATTGCTGTAATTATATTTAATTACTACACGTAGGTTATCATTTCTAAAAGTGGACAATCAGACTACCTATAAATTTTTTTTTAATATCACTATCCACTTAATGAAATTTTAACATACCTTATGCAAATTTCATTATTTAAAACAATGATAACAGTCTTGCTAAATAACCTGCACAATGACATTTGTATATTTACACACTATTATAAAATTTAAGAAGTACTAAACTATGGCTTCTTATTTTGACCTATATCTCTGATATAGTCTTCTAATTAATCAACAATTGTAATAATAAAATTTTAGAATTCATATAGTAACATTCTAATGCAAAAAAGGGTAAATTACAACATAAGCATTTATTAAATTACTAAAAAATTATAATATCCAATTGCGGAAGACGTAGTCGAATTTATTAGAATGCGCAAGGAAATTGTCTAAAATTTTAGAACATAAAAAAGATATATACATTAATGATTACAAAACTCGATATTTTATAATTTTAGTCAAAATTTTTAATGAAAGAGTTCAAAAATGATAAAAATTTTACGATCATATTCATTCCAAGGTAAGCTAATTATTTATGATTGAAAATTGACCATCGTATGCTAATTATTTATGATATTTGCAATCGAAATTTGATATGAAAACAAAGAAGAAAACAAGAAACAGAATAAACTTACACAACTGTAACACTTTGTTTATGCGATGTTGGACTATCCGGTGAGTTTTCGGCACTATCCGTTTTCGCTGCTTTAATTGTATCAACCAGTGTAGAAAATAACGAATATGGCCTCTGAAATTCTTAAATTTTCACAAATTTCAAATTTTATTGAAATTTCACTACGTAACATGCAAAAACAAAAGAATTTCCTTGCATATATTGTCTACTATATTGTCTATTTTAACAAATGGAAGCGTGCACAATTTGAATATTTTAAAGAACTGCAGCAAAAAAAAGACAAGGATGGAGGGAATATTTGTAAATGAGGATAAAAATTATCAGTGGATAATTTATGAATAAATAATTAAATTTGAAGAAAAAAGTAGATAATTGGATTAAAAAAAAGAAAAAGAAATGGAATTATTTGAAAAATGCATAGGATGAATATTGCTCAATTTCGGAGAATTTCACTCTTCTCTTTTTTTTTAATTTAAATTTTTCAAAAAAAAAAGGTTAAAAAAGTTTCGGAATAATTAGATGTTACGAAAAAGGGAAGATCAAATGCGAGTAAAATATCAAGAAAGTGATAAAAGTGTGATAAGGATGTAATGCAGGGAAAATTGTCAGGTGTGCAGGGATTGTCAGGGTGTATTTGTTTTTGCTGCCAATGTAAAACCTCTTTTTCGTCATCCAATAAAAATAATGTGTGACGATGAGTCATAAGGAGAAGTGCGGCTCTTTGCCGTTTACGCTTGGCCAACTGAAATTTGTTTCTTTTTTTCGCTTTTGGTTAATGTAGTGATCATATTATTTTAGGGGATTAACTTATTTTTTAACTGGAAAAAATTGTTTTATAATTTTAAAATTGAAAAAGTTTCATTTTTCCTTTTTTTCTACCTTTAAAGTTTAAAAAACTTTAATATATTAATATTCAATGGTAGATTGAATTTTAATACCATCTTCTTTTATTATTATAATGCAGTAATATTAATTCATATTTTACGAATTATCACGATAGACTTTTGCTTTACAAGTACATTGACAATTTGTTGATAGTTAATCTCAAACTGATATGCCATTCACAATTTACAAATACTTTAAGAATATCTATAATCTATAGGTATTATTATAATAATAAATGATGTTAACGTATTATTTGCTGAGAAAAAGAAGAAAAACATAATAATAATTTTTTAATTACTGTAGGAATGAAAAAAATTGACTCACATCGAATAACTTGTTGGTGGCACCACTAAATTCACCATATTCTTTTTTTCTCAAAAGATTTAAAAGATTTGAAAATGTTTTACCTCAATACCTGATTTCTTCGCTCGATGGTTTTCAAGGATTAATAAGCCAGTGTAAAGCTTTCCAACGGTTAATTTTTGATAACATAATTCTGAAATTACAGCAGCTTATTGTCAGAACAATGATAAACTATTTGAAAAAGATGAAAGACGAAAAGTAACTTCTAAACATTTTTAATCTCCCCCTGTTTAGCTAACGTAAACAGTGAACACTAATATTTTTCAAATTATCTTCATTAAAATGCAAACAATATTTTTTTTTCAGTTTTCATTTTGACGAAAAAATCCTCAGCATCTGTATACTTCTACGGAAGGAAAGATTTAGATGACAAGATTCCTAAAACTTTCCAATTCAATTCCGTCTTCATTTTTCCGATAACTAATCAGCTATTATCATCGTGAGCAATTTTTATACTAAGATTTCTTTTTGGAAAGAAAAAGCATATCATATTTAAAAAAATACACACATCAACTTTAGAAATACAAAGCTTCAAGAAAAGTGAATCGTATATTTCATATTAAAGCTTTATTCAATTGCTGCTTGAATGCAAAAGTTTTTATCCTTTAAAATTTCATATTCTGTAAGATTTCTGAATTATGTTAATTTCAAATAACCTGTGTTTGGTGGTACCACCAAGTCTATCATATTCTTTTTCGCCTTTAGCGGCCATATTTTCCGTAAAGTTTGACGTAACTCCTCGTCTGCTTCATCCATTTCTTCTACTGAAACAAATACAATTAGAATTTTCAATTATTATTTTTCATATTTTAACATTTTCTCAATTTTTAATTTTTTTCGTTGTATTCGAATAAAGTCCAAGATATGGGAATTTAAATTTAATGCAGAAGAACAGTTGAATGATTAGTGCTATTATTTTTTATAATTGCTAGCTGAGATTGCTTTTCTTAGCCATCAGTTTCAAATATAACATTCTGGTGCTATTGTTGAAAGTTTGTAAAAGTTGTGCAAAAGATATATTACAATATAGATGAAAATGCCTGGACTAATCAATACTATATTTCAAAACTTACATATATATATCGACGAAATTTCATTAATTTTCAATAATATATTACAGAATGAGTACATACCAGGCCTCATTTTAATACTAAGCGATTCTCGTATTAATGCAAACAGTGTTGTTGTAAAATGTACAGTACCATCATCTGCTATTGGCATATTCATTCGTATCAAATGTTTATAGGCTAAACGATATGGACATTTACGTCCAAATCCAACTGGTGGAGTAATGTTACGTAGCATCTCGTACATATCCGTGTAATGAATTCGTCCGCTAAAAATTATAGCTTTTTTATTTGCTTTTCTTTACAAAAAATTTTTCTTATATATGTTTATATGAATTAATTAGTTTTCAGTTACTAAGATCAACTGAATAAATTTCATCGCTTTCTATGGTAAATGTCAATTGTTGATCTACCGTACCTAATGAGGTACAGTATTTCGACAAAATGACATTTACCGTACTGCCGCTACACGATTAATGATTGTTTTCATTCTGCTAAATGTTTGGATAATCACATATCTTCAAATAACATTGCATTCTGCATATGCCTGAATTGACTTTAGGACAATTTTAAATTTATGTATTTTTTGGTAAAATTATCCATCCGATTCAAAACGAGGAAGTTTTTGTTAATTGTTCACGACGTGCTTATAGCATAATTAAAATAACTAACGTAGCGGCTGGATCATAATCAGCCCAAACTCGAACAAATTCATCCAAATGATGAGGTCCAAGGATTGAGCTATCACGAGTTAAATAATCAAAATTATCCATTATTACAGCAACAAATAAATTCAACATCTAAAAAATAAACAAATCACAATTTTCAAAAGAAACCTAAAATAAAGTCGGAACCATTATTGAGAAAGAATTGTAATAATTAAGCCTAAAATTATTCGTTTGATTTGAAATAAATGAAATTTTCTTTTAAATTCATGAGCGGATTTTGATCCTATTGAAGTTTTTGTACATTGAACGTAGCACTATAGTAATATTGTGATAACAATAAAAAAAAAGCAACAGAAAATTATAAAAATTCTATATATCAGTATATCATAATCAGCATATGTCGCATTAAGCATTACCAAAGCAAATACATCTGCTTAAATATTATCAGGGCACGTAAACATACGTCTATTCAAGTCTCATCATGGTGATAAATATAACATTTTTGTCCTATCTTAATATGGCATGTACAAATTCCAATACGTAAATATCTAAAAAAAATTTATGAAATTATAATTACCAGAAATGAAGATAGAAAGATAAATGTTGTGAAATATACGTAGGACATCTGAGTACCACAAGTTGGTCCTTTAGCTAAATTAATTTCAAATGAATTCGGTTTCGCGCAATACTTCCCTGCCGTACATGCCATCATTATATCCTGCCATGCTTCACCTGTTGAACATCTGCAAACAACCAATTAGTTCATCTCCGATTCGATCATTTTGAATACTTTCAATAATTTTCTTTCATTATCTTTTGAGACTTTCAAATTTTTTTTTTAATTTCAAATTCCAGAATTATTAATCGTTTATTAGATTAAAAGCACTCATTTTATGTCAACTGCTTTACAAAGGTTCCCCTTCCTTTTACCTTTCATTCTAGTAAATTTAATAAATAAGCTTCTAAAAGTACAGAATTAAAAAGCTTGAGAAAAGAATATCATTTATAAATTAATTTGTAATTAAATGTATAAAATAAGTAGATTGTTTTTCATAGTTAAGTTCTAACGGATTAATTATAATAACAAAGTAAAATTTTGAGACAAAAATAAGCGTGAAAATAAGTAAATAAATTATTAAGTTGTATTTATAATATTAAAATAAAAAATCTTACCGAAAAAGAAGAATGATTGAGTTAAAAAATGATTGGAAATTATTATGTCTGTTATATTCTGTAGTTGCATCTAACCAAATATTACCGAATACCTTAACATAAATTATGTCAAATTTAAATACAGCACTGCAATATCAAGTTATGATAGTGCTAAAATTGCAATTGCATTACTGTTTTAGCAAAACGTAAAATTAATAAATAATAAATGAGTAACTTATTAATAACCAATTAATTGATAACATACCGATTAATTAAACAAATTACTTGAATATTCATTTAGTTTGTTTAATTAAGCAGTATAAAAGAGTGAAAAAATAATTAAAATACCTGCATTCCAACAATAGCATATATGAAAAATAACATTCCAATTAGCAAACAGACATATGGCAAAGCCTGAAATTATTGCAAAAGAAATGAAAGCTATGCAATTTTAAAATATCAAATTTTTCATGCCCTAAAAATTGCTAAAAATGTTTTAAGAGTCCTTAATAAACATTAGCAAGGCTTATAATTTTTTCAATAAAAACCTTAAAATTAGCGTACTTTAAATGATTGAACAAACGTCCATAACAGTATTCTTATGGTATATCCCTGTTGTAGAAGTCTTATCAGACGAGCAGCACGAAAAAGACGTAAAAATCCGAGTGATACAAAATGACCACCAAATTCGGTGACCAATGCATCTGTGATGGAACCAACAACGGTGATAAAATCGAAACGATTCCAACCGTCACGAAAATAATTCTAAAATATGACATTACAATTTGAGTTGTTAGAAAAAATTCGAAAGAATTAATAGGCAAGTAATTATTCACTACTGCTTATGAGGATTAATTTGATAAGGCAAGTAAATAAAAATAAATTAATAAAATGCCGAATGAAAAATGAACGAGAAAAATTTATTGTGTTTACTTTGTATGATATTTACGCAATTTTTCTATTTTCCAACTTTTGTTTCTAATTAAAATTTAACCTTAAAAATAAATGACAGAATTGCAAAGCAATACTTTTAATTTTGTAATAGTTCCTTTCGTAAAATGCGTGATAATTTCAAAAAAATTTTTGCCTTCTTCAATATATGAAATTTTGAGATGGTTTGTCCGCTTATTTGATTTTAAATTTAAAATATTAATAAAAATTTTTGAACAATTAAACGATTTAAAAAAATCATTGAAGCATGCTTACCCGTACGCCAAATGCTAATATTTTTAGGGTTGATTCCACCGTGAATACTGCCGTTAATGCCGTATTAAAAAAACGAAGAATTTTTTCATAAAATTCAGAATTTCCATGAAACTGTAATGGCAGTACTTTTTAAGAAAAGAACAATTAATTTTGCACATACATTGTATTGAATGTTGACTATTGTAATAAATGTGAAAAAAAACCCGTATAAAATATTTTAAATTATTATTTTCAGAAGTAATCATTAATTTTATTCATCGAAATATTATACAGTAAATATATTGAAAGTATAATAATCTATAATTACACAAATACCAATAGAATAATTTTTTAATATTTTTGCCGCTTTTTAAAATATTTCAGGAAAATTTCGGAACTGTTGTGCTCTGAAAGAGATGAAAAAAAAGTAAAGAAAAAATTAACCTTCATCATCAAAATAATTGTATTGCAGCAAATCATTGCCATAATGAAATACTCAAATGGAGTGGAAGTAACAAGTCGCCAGATTCGATATTTGATCGAATTCTTATCTTCTGGCATAAATAATGAACGTGGACGAGCATTTAATGCAAAATCGATACATTGCTTCTAAATATTCTTTTTAATAAAAATAAAGATTTGCTTAAATTAGTTGAAAAATAAAAGTTAAGTTAATAATAATGATTGAGATTGATTAGTGTGTTTGTTCGTTTATTTGTTTGCTTATCTTCTCCGAACAATTACCATAATTAGTATGTGTTTATTAATTTTCTTTAGTTGATAAATGAATTGGATTAATAAAAACTAAACTTAGTAGTCGATGTTATGAACTTATTTTGAACAATTATTAAATTAGAGTAAAAAAAAAATCAACAGACGATAGATAGTTCTGCTATATCAATAATTTAATAAATGGTAAGAAACAAAAATATATGCAATCTGTATTATAAAATTTAATTTTTCGAAATCTATTTAAAACAGCTAAAGAATTAATTTTCTTTTAACTGTTAAATAATTGTTATCATTAGTAGGGAAAATGCCAGTAATGATTTAAATAAAATTAGAGCTAAATTTTAGAAAAATTAAATTTCTGGAAAATTTCATACTTGATCACAATGAAGTTTATCAATTTACCTGATTCTTATCAAGATCACCTTCAGAGAGCTCAGCTTCGCCTTGTTCTTGAAATGTAATAATGATCAGTGCAACGAAGATATTTACGAAGAAAAATGGAAATACGATGAAGAACATTACATAAAAGAGCGCCATCTGTAAAATTTTCATCATTTTTGTTTCTCAGCAATCTCTAATTTGAAACAAATTAATTTGCTCACTGATAAAGAAAATAGACTTACAATGAATGAAAAGCATAAAATGGATGAAATTCAATTATTTAGATTTGCCAAAGTATGCAAAGAATCGAATATGCAATGAAACCGATAATAAAGTTAAGGAAATAAATGGTAACAATAAATATTTAGTTTACAATAAATCAGCAAATAAATTCATTTAACTAAATTATCACACATATACAAAGATACATAAGCTAGCTAGCAAATAGGTGCAGTAGAAATAAGTAATATGAAAATCGAAAAATTTTAAATCAAAAACTAAAATACTATCCATTCTTTTTTAAAAAAAAATTAAGAAGTAAAATACAGTGTTTCATGTAAAATTTGCATTTTTTTTATGACTTTGTATTCGCTTTTAGATTAGTTAAAATTTTTTTTTGCATATCTTAAAATAATATTGTAAAAATATTAAAA